TCTATCGCCCCCTGCTGGCTGGGGCTGAGCACTGCCCCTCCCAGCTCTATCGCCCCCTGCTGGCTGGGGCTGAGCACTGCCCCTCCCAGCTCTATCGCCCCCTGCTGGCTGGGGCTGAGCACTGCCCCTCCCAGCTCTATCGCCCCCTGCTGGCTGGGGCTGAGCACTGCCCCTCCCAGCTCTATCGCCCCCTGCTGGCTGGGGCTGAGCACTGCCCCTCCCAGCTCTATCGCCCCCTGCTGGCTGGGGCTGAGCACTGCCCCTCCCAGCTCTATCGCCCCCTGCTGGCTGGGGCTGAGCACTGCCCCCCCAGCTCTATCGCCCCCTGCTGGCTGGGGCTGAGCACTGCCCCTCACTCCCCTTCCATCACCCCCTGCTGGCTAGGGCTGAGCACTGCCCCTCCCCCCAGCTCTGATACCCCCTGCTGGCTGGGGATGAGCACTGCCCCCTCCTACCATCCTTGCCGCGGATGACGTGGGCAATGGTGATGCCCCCGATCTCCGAGTCACTGACTGTGCCCAGCAGCTTGCTGACGTACTGCTTGCTGATGAAGCCGATGATGAGCCTGGGTGGACAGACAGATGGATCAGAGAGCAAGCTGCAGCCACGGCTCCACCCCACCTCCTCTCTCGGGCCTCCCTCCCCTCCCGTTTTACTGAGCAAGGGGCGGGGCTGTGAATCCGGACACCTGGGTTCTTTTGTCCTCAGCTCTGGGAGCGAGGTGGAGTCTAGTGGTTAGAGCGGCGGGGGGAGGAAAAGGGGAGCCCAGAGTCAGGATGCCTGTATTCTTTCCCCACAGCTGAGAAGGGAGTAGAGTTGGGTGCTTAGAGCAGAAGGGACACGGAGCCAGGACTCTTGGACTCTCTTCTTAGCTTGGGGAGGGCAGCGTGGTCTAGTGGTTAAAGCATGGGGGAAGGGCAGGGACCACACCACCTGGGTCCCCAGCATCGGGAAGGAGCGGCGCCTAGTGGTGAGAGCAGCGGGTTGCCAGCCAGGGTTCTCTCCCTGGCTCTACCATTCTTGCACCCCCCCTTCCCCCAATTCAGTCTTTCCCGGGGCGACCCCGAGGCACCCACCTGTCTGACCAGTAGCTTTTGAGGCACCTCTTGGTGAGGTCGAGGACTCCGTCAAACCACTGCCAGAAGGTGAATCCCCGGCCGGGCAGGATCTCCTGTGGGCAGCCGCAGAGAGGGGGGGAGGCCGGG